TGAATTGATCTAAGTATCTATGGATATAAGTATTGAAGAGTATTCAAACCCTTACCTCAATAATCAAGCAAAGAAGTGAGCTTGAGAAGAAGCCTTCACAAATCCAAGTTCTAATCGGGTAAAAACATCGATCCTCCCTTGTTCTCCATCCTTGATGCCAAAAACCATGGTGGATCGTGAGCAAAGTAAAGGAATTCAAGGATTTGGGGCTAGGGTTTCGGACATGGAAGAGGGGAGAAGAAGAGAGGAAAAGAAATTGCAAGAAATGGTCCAAAAATTCCGTTTTTAGAGCTGCTGTCCTGCACAGACCGCACGTGCGGCGCTATTCCCCGCACGTGCGGCTCTGCTTCCAGCACAGATGTGAAAACTTCAAACGGGTATAACTCTCTCATCGGGACTCCGTTCTAGGTCGTTCTTGTCTCCAAATCGAAGCCCCAGAAATGAGATTTCCAATGGTTCTAACCTCACATCCAAATTCCAAGTGTGGAACAAGAAAAGGGAAAAAGAGTAACGGTTGGTCGTAAACGAATTATTCAAATTAAAGTTTTTGATCCAATCTTACTTTACCATCATATTATCATCTCAATCAATACCCCAAAATAAGGTAAGAATATTCCAAACACACTAAGAAGAACATCAAAAATGAGTCCACGTGTCTCAGAATCAAACTTAACCAGGCGACCTGCTCGAGCGCCCACTTATACGCTCGAGCGGAAAATCACCTCTCCTAGAATTTCAGTCCGTCTGCAAAATTACTGGAAACCCCAAAAGGACGCTCGAGCGCCAACTACTCCGCTCGAGCGGTGGCAAAAATTTCAGATTGTTTGGTAAAGGTCACCAATTCCAGTTTCAAAGACATAACCCAACGGATAGTTCTTCAATTCCAATAGCAAGCACATTAACCCCTACTTAAATAAGGATAACTTCCTATACGCACTTTGGGGTCATTACATCATCTCCCTGTGCGGTCTCGTCAGTGGCTATCGGAGGATCTTTAGTCACGCCTGCCATGGATGTATTTGAGTATTCCCACATACGGCGCCAATTGTGGAGAAGTGATTTTGGAAATACTCTTCAGATCTTGGGAGACGCTAGTGATCCTCAGCTAGTCACCTGAAAAGACACAAACACTCCAGTCGGGGGTGCCAGAATTAGCACTCCAACGGACAAGTCAGTTCTTGTACTCAAAATAGCTTGTCTTCTAAGTTAAGCAAAAAGTGATTGTTACATACCTTTCTCAATCCATTGTTCCTGTATTTATACCTGTTCCTTTTGATCCTCGGTGCCAGGGCCTACTTTTTAATCATTGTCCTTTCTCTTATTCGGCTCTAAGGATCTACACTTATTCGGCACATGTATTATATTCGGCATCCCATTCTCGTAGGATACAGCCGATTAATATCAGTCTTCTAAGGTACGCACCTTCTGATTTTGCCATTATTCGGCTCCCACATAAACTTATATGCATTGATTAACTACTCATTTCCGCAACACATATAATTATCTAACCCAAGTCCAACAAGGAAACTTCTTCATCTAGGAAATTCTATGGTGTATTCTATATGTACCATTGCTTACGATTTTTGAGTCAATGGTTATGACCTACCTTATTGTTAGTTATGACACACTATGATGTTTGTTTTGACAAAATTTTAGTTATGATCCAAGATCTATTTGGTTAAACCTCACATGATGTATAGTTATAACTCAATTTTTTAATTTTTTTTTTCACAGTATTGAATCATATCATTTGTAATAATCAAACTCACAAATTACATAACTTACCTATGTGTAAGATAGTATTTCTCATCCATCCATAGCATAAGTCAACCATTCATAGTAAAAGTCTCATCTTTCATACCATGTCCAAACCAACATAAGAGAGCAAAAAATAATTCAAAATATAATAGAGGGAAAATAATAATAATAATGCAATTCCATCATCCCATGAAAGTAAGTTTAAAAACTGAACTTATGAATTATTCTTCTTTAAACTTAAAAATATAGTAGCATTATAATTATGAATAAATCAAACTAAGTCTTGTATCTCAATCATTTGAGATTAGCTATATGAACTTTTTTTTTCCCCTCCATCATTCCATGAAAGTGAGTTTAAAAACTGAACTTATGTATTATTCTTCTTTAAACATAAAAATATAGTAGCATTATAATTATGAATAAATCAAACTAAGTCTTGTATCTCAATCATTTGAGATTAGCTATATGAACTTTTTTTTTCCCCTCCATTATGCTTTATCAAGAGTTATATACTCAAATGATTTAAACAAATTCATATATTTTTTTACCATTCTTATTCCATGTCAGTTTAAGTCTTTTTCCCTTCATTACATTTTCATTTATGGTGATCAACTCTTTTCTCATTCTACGGTTGACTAAATCCTAATTCCCCTAATCTATATTATATATTAGTAAAAGTCACCCTTTTTTTTTTCTTCCTTTTCTAAAAGACTCTATGAGCTTCAAGATATTAATATAATTTTCTTAATTTTTTTTTAACTACTCGTAGGTGTAACTTGAATGAAATAGTTAAAATTTACTTGATTTTAAATTATTTTTTCCATATATTTTAAACAAAATTTATGTTATTATTTAATTTTCAAAACTATTTTTTGGTTATTTATTTATTTTCATGCATAACATAGGTATTACACTTGTTCCAATTGAAGTGAAGATTCTACTCCAGGCCAGCTTTGAGATTTGTGGGGCCTAAGGCAAAATATGAAAATGGGGCCCCTCTAATATATATATTTTTTTAATAAAAAATTTATGCATAAAATGATAAGCATCCACAAATTTTTTATTTAAGTATACTTGAAGTATACTTCCTAGGAAACATGGCTATAATCACAAACACTTCAATCCACAAATCACAATCCACTGATTTGATAGCAAATAAATTATAAAAAAATAATTTAATGAAACAAAATTAGGGCAAAAAAATTATTTAATTAAAACTGATAAATACCTAGGCAAAAAATTAGGGCTAAATTATTTATTCTACTAAAATCTAATGGATAAAAAAGGTAACAAAAAAATTAGGGCAAATTTATTATTCCACTAATTGATAGAGAAAGAATATAGAAAAAAAAAGGGAAATTTATTAAAAAGTCCCATTGTAGGAACTTATAGTCCAGATGGTCCCACATTTTTTTACTTTGTCTACCAAGTCCTTTTCAGGAGCACCTTGTTACTGTGTAGTCCTGTTTTGAATGTGAAGGACATGTTGCGGACGGATATGCCCTCGCGTGATTTTATGAAGATTTCATGCTGTTATTTTTGGTAGGTGTAATCCCACGTTTCGTGGGGTTTGAGGACACCGTTGCCGACGCACAGGTGCATTACATATTACGTCTCCTGTGAACATTGATTTTTCGTTATTAATGGTGTATGAATCGAGATACGAATCTGCGTGAACCCAACCAATGGTAAGGTTCACATCGAAACGTCACAAATGGTAATTGGAAAACAAAGGGTCAAACTGTGGGAAAGTCGAAACGTAACACAACTCACGTCACAAAAAATATATATATATATATATGTGTGTGTGTTAAATTACTTGTGTTCACATCACAACCCACGTCACCAAAAAAAAAAAAAAAGTGTCAAATTACTTGTGTTCACGTCACAACCCACGTCTCATGTTTTGAGTGTTACACACTTATTAAATTAAAAAAAATATTAGTGTGTTTTTTCGATCAGCGTGACATACAAACACTCATTCACCTTATCCCATATAAACCCACACCAAATGTCAATCAATAATACTAGCAGTGGCAAAACTGTCAACAAACAAAGTAAGGGACCACCCAGTCACTAAGAAAACATTCAGGACTTTATGGATTACAAGTCCACAAAATGGGATTTACTGGTCAATTCCCCAAAAAAAAAACTAGGGCAACTTTATTTAATAAAATCTGATACAGAGAGAGAGGACTTACCATGAGAGAGAGTGTTTGTGAGAGAGAGTGAATTACCGGAGGAGTGTGTGAAACAGAGAATATTTTTACTAATTAGTTCATATAGGTTACATTTTTTTAAGGAAAAAATAATTTTTAGATATTCAAAAAATATTTTTACAGTTTATTTTGTCAAGCTAATTCCTATTTTTTTGAAAAAAAAAGAACTATAAAATTTAAACCGAACAGGATACATTTGAGTAGAGCTTTTCTTCTTTTTTTACTATTCTTTTTCTTTTCTTTTCTCTTTTTTCTTTTTTTAGGACATATGCAATTTTTTTTGGGATAAATTTCACTAACATCATCTAAGATTTGAAAAAAATAAAATAAACCCCATAAGTTTGATATAATTAACTTGGTCCCTTGACCCCTTTTTCATTAGTAATTATTTAGACATATGAATGAAAAATGATGCTGTCATCTCTTTTAAACACACACACACACACACACACACATATATATATATATTACCTTGGTTATACTTGTATCTTCACACCATCTGCATTACTTTTGATCTCTTTAACTTTACTAAAAAAGAATTCGGTATAATTATACCAAAACTATGAATTTGCTATATTATCCTTATTTTTCATCTTGTACCCTTCATAACTTCTTGTTATACAAATATGTTACAAAATTGAACATTGAATTACATGTTCCTCCCATAGTATTAGGCATCTTGAATTGTCAATTAGGAATCAAAAGGTTTAATTTCTCATCTACATATGGTCTTCTAAATTGGCCATATAGTACATGAAAAATACTAATAGTTACTCCTACAAGGTAAATGACGAGTTATGTGGTAAATGATGAGTTATGTGAATTCAACAATTAGTAGTAGGTATAACTCCACCAAGAGAAAGAAAAAAGATAATGTCAATTGTACAAGTTTGAATATTTTGTGTTGATGTTAGTTACCAAGGTGAATGCCTTAATTAATAATTTTTCTTATTGAAGATTTTTTATTTTTTATTTTTTTTTGGGTTAAAAAAATTTGTTTCCATTATTTTTTTTTTCTTCAAGTTTCTTTGTTTTTACATTTTGGCAAGTTTGATACCAGAGGAGATTGGTGAGCTTCCAAATATGAAAGAGCTAGTACTTGTTGCTACTAACTTAATGGTTGCCATACCAACATCAATTTTTAATATCTCATCACTTTTGTCATTGTCGCTTTCGGAAAATAACTTGTCGAGCAATCTTCCATCAAATATAGGGCTTTGGCTACCCAATCTTCATGGTCTCTTGCTTGTAGGAAATAAACTCACTGGAATTATTCCCGAGTCAATCTCAAATGCTTCTAAACTCACTCTTGTAGACCTCAATAGCAATGCATTTACAGGTTCAATTCCAAAAACGCTTGGCAATTTACAACTACTCACAGCTCTCAACTTCATAAACAACAATTTGACAAGTGGATCATCTACTTCCTCACTAGAATTGAGCTTCCTCACTTCCTTGGCAAATTTCAAGCATTTAAAATATTTGTTCATAAATCGAAATCCTCTAGACGGCATTCTTTCAACAACCATTGGAAATTTCTCTACTTCCCTTGAGAACATTCAGACAGATTATTGTGGAATTAGAGGCAACATTCCTAATGAAATTGGTAATGTAAACAATTTGGCATGGTTGAATATGTAGCAAAATAGTTTGACTGGATTCATTTCCTCTACAATTAAAGCGTTGGGAAAGCTTCAAATATTGGATCTTTCCAACAACAGACTGCAAGGGTCCATTCCAGATGATATATGCCCACTCAAGAACATGGGTGATCTACGATTGAACGAAAACGAACTTTTTGGATTGATTCCTGAATGCTTAGGGAATATTACATCTCTAAGATATCTCTATCTCAATCCCAACAAACTAGCTTTTGTCATACCTACAGGGTTAGGCGATCTTAAAGATATCTTGGAAATTAACATGTCCTCGAATTCTTTAAATGGCAATCTGCCACCACAACTTGGGAGTTTCAAAGTTGCAACACTAATAGATTTTTCAATGAACCAATTCACAGGCAAAATCCCAAGTACAATTATAGGTTTGCAAAACTTGGTTACTCTTTCATTGGCGCACAATAAGTTACAAGGATCTATACCTGACTCATTTGGCAGCATGGTGAGCTTGGAATTCTTAGATCTATCCTATACTGACCTCTCTGATGTGATCCCCAAGTCCTTAGAGACATTGTCTCATCTTTCCTATCTCAACGTTTCTTTGGATAAGTTAAGAGGACAAATTCCAAATGGGGTACCTTTTGCAAATTTCACCATTCAATCTTTCATGTTGAATGAAGCATTATGTGATGCACCAAAGTTTCAAGTCCCTGCATGCCATACTAGTTCCTTTCATCATCTCAGGAAAAAAAGAGTGGCTCTAGCTTTATATATTTTGTTATCGATTGCATCCATACTGCTTGCTACAACCTTTGTGTCCTTGTTTATAAAATGTCGAAGAAATAAATCTCCATTCAATGTTGATCTCTTACCAACAATAACACCTCCAAGAATCACATACCAACAGTTTTTCCGAGCAAGTAATGGGTTTAGTGAGAGCCACTTGCTTGGTATGGGGAGTTTTGGTTCTGTCTACAAAGCTATCCTTGAAGATACCACAGTTTTTGCTATAAAGGTATTCAACTTGCAAGTAGAAGGTGCATTCAAGAGTTTTGACATAGAATGCGAGATAATGCGACACATTCGTCATCGCAATCTTACTAAGGTCATTAGCAGTTGCTCGAACCTTGATTTCAAAGCTCTAGTACTTGAGTATATGCCTAATGGGAGTCTTGAAAAGTGGTTGTATTTTTACAACTATTTCTTAGATATGTTGTAGAGATTAGACATAATGATAGATGTTGCATGTGCTTTGGAGTATCTTCACCATGATTATTCAATGCCTTTGGTTCATTGTGATTTGAAACCCAACAACATCCTACTAGATGATGACTTGGTTGCACATGTGAGTGATTTTGGCATTGCGAAGTTATTAGATTTTGGGAAGAATGTCACACATACAAATACCATAGCAACATTTGGGTATATTGCACCAGGTGACTTCTAAATTTTAATTTCTATTTTCACATTTTTGTGTTTTTATTATTTTTATTTTATTGTTTTATATATATATATATATGTTTTAATTTATATAGACATGCACTTTTCATATTATAGCACAAAACTTTAAATTATATGTTTCCAATTTATATAGACATGCACTTTTCATATTATAGCACAAAACTTTAAATATAATTTTCATAGAAATTTTTATGATTTTGTTGACAACGAGCTAATTCTCTAAATGGTAAATTACACTAATCGCCATTGAATAATGATAAAAATACAATAAATTTCGTAATTTCAACATAATTATACCCACCTCCCTTTCAATAATAGAAAATTTAACAATGTTAACTTCAATAAGTAAATTACTTTTTTGCCTTTACTATCTTTTATTTGTCAAATTTAACAATAATACCAAATAGGAAAATTACTCTTTTTTTCCACACGATCACTACTACATACCCTTTTTTCCCAAAACAACTCACCCATCCAACACTTGCCACCATTGCATACCCCTCCAATACTGCCAACCTCTAGGACACCACGAATCCAACCACCGATACAAACCAACTTGCCACTACAAAAATTCTATAATTTTCTTGACAACATGATATTTTTTTTGATTGTATGTAGAGTTTGGATTGGAAGGATTAGTATCCACAGGCTGTGATGTTTATAGTTATGAAATCTTGCTTATGGAAACATTCACAAGAGTGAAGCCTACTGATGAAACGCTTTTTGAAGACATGACAATGAAACTGAGAGAGAGATTAATGATCTGGTACTGGGCCGGACAGATCTAGGCCAGACAGAGTTTTTACCGGACAGATTTGGGTCGGGCAAGTGTTGGGCCGAGAATGTGTGGCCCAGTTTGGAAAGAAGTTGCTCGGTTAAGGCAACGCTTGGTTGGATCGAGCTACATGTTTGGCGGAGGCGAAGCCAGTCAAGTTAAGTGACCGGCGTCCGGAAAGGCGTGGTCAGCCGAGGTACCTGTTTGCTCGGCTTTGCCGAGATGTTGCCTAGCCCGGTTCTCATTAAGCTTAGCTAGTGGAGTGCTTGGACATGAAGCACAGCACGACCGTTGGAGGACAAGATGGTGTAGCTCGGCTGCCGAGCTCCCAATAGAGTGAGCGGGCAGTTGAGATTAGGTGACGCTCAGCAGGATTTGTGCTGACAAATGGGATAACAGAGCCACGTGTCGAGAGACCATTGGGAGCAGGTTTGGGACGTAGAAGGGTATATAAGCATGTCTGCGCCCCCCATACGTAGGGGACGAACACTTTGTGAGGAACTCCTACACTTTAACACTCCTCTCTCTTTCTCTTTATCCTAAGGTGTGTGCTAACTTGACCGTCGGAGGGGTTTTCCGGCCACACACCGCCGGGTAGCTCACCGCCGTTGTGCTCGCAGGTCGATCGGACAGACAGGAACTTGGAAGAAAGGAATACGGGCTTGCTTGAATATTTGCTCCCCGTACAATTGGCGCTGTTTGTGGGAAGCTTGATAGACAAAACCTTGTCTTCCAGGCTCGTCTGATCGCCGTCCATGGAGAACAACGAGGAGTTTCTGTTGTCTGCCATAGACGGAGCCACGCCGGAGTTCACCTGAAGGAGAGAAGGACCTCCCGTCATCCATCCAATGGCAGACTTGGAGACACCCACCGGAGGACAGTCGGGAGATGCGCGGGATAAGCGCGGAAGAAGTCACGGTCATTCACGCAGTCCAGACGGTCACCGGCGGAGAAGAGACTCACACGCCAGACGTTTGGAAAATAAGTTGAAGGACCAGGACGCCGTCATCCGGCGAATGGCGGCGTAGATGGAGGAACTGAAGCGGCATGTCAAGGGGAAGGGTGTAGATGGAGTGATAGACCACAGTGAGCGCACCCCATCCCGCCGTTCAGGCAGTCGAAGTCAGTGACACACTACATCCATTTCCATTACCAGAAGCTACAAAGTTGATGATTCAGGCATTCGCGCAGAAAATTCCAGCATGCAGGATAGCACATACCAACCCTCGCGTCCGGTGACGACGTCGAGGTACTCATATTCTGCTCACTCAGAGGATTTGCGGGCAGTCTTGAAGGAACGAGCTCGCCGTCGGGAGGCTCAAAGGGTGTCGACATTTCAACGGCCATCCTATGGGGTTCACGCTAGCGAGGAGGTCGGAATGCCTCCACCCCGCCAAGCAGCGCCACTCTTTGTAGATACGGACCTGGCCAGGCTGAGTGCCACCCCTTTTCCCTGGAAATAGAAACAACACCGCTTCCGGCAGGCTTCCACCAGCCTAAGTTCACACTCTACGACGGAAAAACTGATCCTTACATGCACGTAAGCCACTTCCGACAGGTTATGGCTGGACATCGGCGAAATGACGAGCTTATGTGCCTTATCTTCCCGTCAAGTTTAGGCGAGCTGGGCTTGAAGTGGTTCGAGAGGTTACCGGAAGCGAGCATACAAAGGTGGCACCAGTTGGCTGAAGCCTTTGTGACGCGCTTCAAAACCAACACAAAAACACCAAAGGAAGTCGATCACTTACTAAGTGTCAAGATGGAACCGAGCGACACATTGAAGGCATATAACTCCAGGTATTAGGAGACCTTCAACGAGATCTTGGATTTCCCGGTCAACCTTGCAATCACTCAATACAAGCGTGGTCTCCCGGTCGGACATAAACTGCGGGACTCGCTCACCATGCACCAACCGACGTCCATGGGCCAGCTCATGCAGCGCATCAATGAGCACATCCGGGTCGAGGATGATGCGTCAGCATCTACCGTGAAGTCAACTCCGGTAGCAACAGACAAGAAGACGGCAGGCAAAGTGCACGCAGTTGGGCAAGAATCCAGCCGCTCAAGTGACAGAGCAGAGGAATCAGACCGTGGCTCGAATCGTAAGAACCGGGGTAGAGGACGTCGGAATGACCGGGATGACTACACCCGAGATGATGTTGTGAATGCCAACAGAAGATTGAAGGCAAGGACTGGCATCACCACGGTCTTCAAGATTCCAATTTATCACATACTTAGTGAAATCCTAGATGAGGAGTATGTCTGGTTTCCTGCTAAGTTGGGCGATGGACAGAAGGGCTACAATCCGCGGTATCATTGCACATTGCACCGGGAGAGAGGCCATCGGACTGAGGATTGTTTGCCTTTGAGGCAACACTTAGAAGAGCTGGTCGCGGCTGGGCACCTAGACCTTTACATTGATGGCGGCGTAAAGCTGAATCAGGCTCCGATCGATCCCAGGGGACAGGATGACCGAGACGCACCACCACAAGGAGTTATTAATGTCGTCCATGGCATCATGGAATCGGAGCGTGTTTGCGAACTCCGGGGCATGATAAAAAAGGTAGAGCATATGAGGGAAGTTTTGTCGGTACAGCCTGCCATCAAAAGGGGGAAGACTGAAGAAAAAGACGCGATTAGTTTCACCTCAAGGGATCTAGAGCGTATCCAGACGCCGCACAACGATGCCCTAGTAGTAACACTACGCGTCAAGGAATTTGATGTTAAACGGATCTTGATCAATCAGGGAAGCTCGGTCGAGATCATGTATTTTGATGCGTTCAAGCAGCTCAAACTCCGGGAGACAGACTTGGCTCCGGCAACTTTGCCACTGGTTGGTTTTAACTCGCAACCGGAGTGGCCCTTGGGAAAGATTATCCTGCCGGTCAAAGCGGGATCCGTGGTCAAGCAAGTGGAGTTTTGGGTGCTACAAGTGCCTTCGACGTACAACCTTATCCTTGGAAGGGGATGGCTTCACGCTATGCAAGCTGTAGCGTCGACCTACCACCAGGTGATGAGATTCCCATCGGCTATGGGGGCAATCGAGGAGATCTGGGGGGATCAAGTCATGTCCAAACAGTGCTTCGTGGCGGTGAATGGCAGCCGGGCTACCAAAGGGTTCGTGCAAATGATAGAAGGACCGGAAGACCGAGGAGTTCTGGAGGATGTGGGCACTAAGGCAGAGGACAAAGCTGTGGAGGACCTGGTTGAGGTGCGACTCGATATAGAGCGGCCGGATAAGTTATTCCTGCTCGGTTCCAGCCTTACTGCCCAAGTGAGGACCGAGATGGTTGAGTTTTTGATGGCCAACATCGAAGTCTTCGCATGGTCGCCTTACGACATGCCGGGCCTCGATCCAAGTTTTATCTTCCATCACCTCAACGTCTTCCCTGGAGCAAAGCCAGTCATCCAGCGAACAAGGAGATCGGCACTGCATCATGCCGTGGTAGTTACAGAGGAGGTGAAGAACCTTCTTGAGGCACGAGCAATTCAGGAAGTGCACTACCCTCGGTGGATTTCCAACACAGTAGTGGTGCCCAAGAAGAATGGAAAGTGGTGAGTTTGTGTCGACTATAAGACAGTCAACCGAGTTTGTTCCAAAGATAGCTTCCCTTTGAAGCGAATTGACCAGCTTGTGGACTTGACGGCTGGACATAATAGGCTCAGTTTCTTGGATGCCTACCGCGGCTACCATCAGATCGCCATGCACGGGCCTGACCGAGAGATCACCTCTTTCACGACTCCAAGGGGACTCTTTTGCTACCGAGTCATGCCTTTTGGTTTGAAGAACGCCGGGGCAACCTTGCAGAGGATGGTGGCCAAAATGTTTGCTCTTTTGCTTGGCCAGACAATGGAGGCTTACATCGATGATATGGTGGTAAAGAGCCGACATGAGGCAAACCATTTGTCCGACTTAGCCGAGATGTTTGCCATTCTAAAGAAGCACAAGCTGCGCTTGAATGCGTCAAAGTGTGCCTTTGGCGTGGGATCCGGAAAATTTTTGGGGTTCCTAGTCACGAACCGAGGCATCGAAGCAGACCCTACTCAGATCAGAGCCGTGCAAGAGTTAAAGCAGTCCAGTTAGGCTAAGGACGTACAGCATTTGGCCGGGATGGCCGCCGCGCTTAATCGGTTTATAAGCCGGTCATCAGATCGCTGCCGCCCTTTCTTTCAAGCTTCGAAGTCAAAGTTCTCGTGGGACGAAGAGTGTGACCGAGCTTTGGCCGAGCTCAAGGAATATCTGTCTTCTCCGCCACTGTTGGTTACACCAAAGCCGGGTGAGGAACTCTACCTTTACCTTGCCGTCTCCCAGCACGCAGTCAGTGCGGTGCTAGTCCGCGCTGAAAGAATCAAGCACCTCCCAATTTTCTATGTCAGTAAGACCTTACTGCCGGCTGAGACGAGGTACTTGCCGTTGGAAAAGCTTGCGTTGGCATTGATGATGGCTTCAAGGAAGTTGGCGCATTATTTTCACGCCCATACCATCATCGTACTGACCGAGTTTCCCCTTAAGGCCTTGTTTCAACGGGCGGACTTTTCAGGCCGAATTCTCAAGTGGGCGGTCGAATTGGGACAGTTTGATGTAAAGTTCCAACCCCGCACAGCCATAAAGGCCCAAACTTTGGTCGATTTTGTTGCTGAATTCTCACCAGGAACTCATCCGGTATGCCCGATCGATATTGCCGCCGCCGAAGAAGAAGGGACTGCAAGCCTGACCGAGATACCACAACTGGGTGGCGTTGCCGACGCGGAATTTGCGCGCCCCACCGTAGTACCCACAACTTGTACAATTCAACCAACCGGTGATGCGATGATGGAGTCGGGTATTGTTGTCCCACCCACTCTGTCTGGTACCGTGTCGTCAGAGGGTGAAGTAATGGAACTACTCAGCACAGAGCCTGCGGCCGACCGAATACTGCAACCTGGTGATTCGCCTACGGACTTAAGCATTGTAGACCGACTTGCTAAGTCCAGTGCCGAATCACCAAGGGGGGCTGGAGTGGAACCAATCAA